CCTCTGTGATTATACCTCTAGACTCTACTTATGAATTTTAGAAGTACTTTTGAGAAAAACTGGGAACTCACCATCTTGGTCCAGTGTATCTCTACAACAGAAACATACCTGACACAGCCACCCTGCTTTCCTACTTCCAAGGCTGGCCAACCCTTCTTCTGATTGGTACATTGCACCCTAAGAAGTGTTCTTTGAACATCTAGGGAAGTTATGGCTAAATATGACTGGCCCAGAATTCAGTTCTGTATATTTAGATGACCTTGCACCACTTTCTTCTTCCTTGGTTTGTGACTTCAGGGGGCTGTCTCATTTCAAGGTTCTCATTGTATCCCATGTGTACTGATTATATAGTGTGTGTATGTCATGTTCACATCTAGTTTTGACCATTTTCAAAGCAATATTTGACAACACTTGATATTTGATGTTTCCCTGCATTGATTGTGATTGTATAAGGCTACTGCTCAATAAATAGTGATTAACAGGTTGAAAGAAATAAAGCTAAAGTATAAGCAGTGTTGTCATCATCTTCTATTCTTTCAGATCCAACTCTTGCTACACTAGCAAGAAAGGAGAAAGGAAGAGGGCATACATACCTAAAAATCCCAAAGTCATGAAACAATCTTTTCATTACAGTAACAAATGCCAAGTGACTCCCTATCATGCATTCTACCCCAGCTAAGGAGGTGACATGGAATATTGGAAAGATCAAGTCTTAGTGGTCAGGCAGATGTAGGGTAGGAGCCAACTTCATCATTTACTAGTGAGGGCACTAGAATTTACTAGGTAGATGACCCTATTCAACTTCTTTGAACTTCAGTTTCCTATTTAATTCATCTCCCAAAGTTGGCAAGGACTGGCAATGATCAAGAAGTTCCTGGCCTTGATGGGACATATTCAGTCAACATCAGTTTCCTTTCCAAGTAAAAATGGTTTTAGTGCTACGGAAAGCCAAATGTTTGGCTCAGGGCTGGGCAGTGCTTCTGGGATCTTGGAGGATATATTTCTATTTAAAAGCTGAAATTCAGGTTTTCTTTTTGCATTTTCTTCAATCATGGAGCATGTGGTTATTTAAATCTGATCTGTGGGCTGGATGAAGTCAGTGATGGTGAGCCAAGGTGATGGCAGTAAACATTTCTCTGTGTATGTATGTATACATGTGTATTTCTCTTTTACCCCCTCTTTCTTTTCTCCCTTCCTCTCTGTCAAGTCTTCTTGGTTTTATTCCATCAGTTTATTTTTTATTTTGTTTTTTTTTTTTGACTAGGTTACATTTATACATGGTTCAAAAATTTAAAGCTATAAAAGGGAGTTTAGTGAAAAATCTTCCTACCTTGTCTTTCAGCTTTAAAATTCTTCTCCCTACAGGCAACCAATGTCACCAGTTGTGTATCCTCTTGGAATATTGTTTACCTTCCTTTTATATGAATGAATACATACTATGCTGTACTGCTCTCTGAATCTTGCTTTTTCACTTAATGATCTTGAAGATTATTCCACACTAATATGTGGAAAGCTTCCTTGACCTTCCTTAGTTTAGTTTTATTGTATTATATTTTATTTTATGTATGTATTGTAAGGCCCAAGGGCAGGCCACCCCAAATATGCCAATTTGGCATATTGTATATTTTCAGTAATAGTTACTTAAGAGATGGCCTGTGCAAGAAGGACATTCAGACCTTCTTATGTCCCCCTGATAGCAGGAACTAAATGTCCCATGTGAAAGGTACCCTCTTAGTACCAAGTAGTAGAGGTATCTTTATCACCAGAGATAGGAAATTTAGAGCCAAGAAGTCTTACTATTTTTTACTAATTTACTAACCCAGCCCAAATACTGTTTAGAATTCCTTACTAACTGAAGCCCCCAAAGTTATCGTTACCCTGTCAATTCCTCATAGATTTATTGTCTCTATTTCTAAAAAGTATAAAAAGTTCCTGCCTTGGTCATTTCCTTAAGTCTCAGTTTCATTATTGGGCCTCTGTGCGCATGTAATAAAACTTTGTGGGTTTTTTCCTTCTGTTAATCTGTCTTATGTAAATTTATTTATTAGTCCAGCTAGAAGAATCTTGAACAGAGGGAAATTTCTTCCTCCCTCTCAGTACCAGTACTTGTTTAACCCATTACCAGTACCATTACTTATTTAACATCAGACTAACTTGCTTACTTTCTTTTCTTTCTTTCTTTCTTTTCTTTCTTTCTTTCTTTCTCTTTCTTTCTTTCTTTCTTTCTTTCTTTCTTTCTTTCTTTCTTTCTTTCTTTCTTTCTTTCTTTCTCTTTCTTTCTTTCTTTCTTTCTTTCCTTCTTTCTTTCTTTCCCTTCCTTCCTTCCTTCCTTCCTTCCATCCTTGCTATTACAAGTAATGCTGCAATGAATAAACGTTTACATGTTATTTTGCAATAAGCAAATACATCTATAAGTAAGTTCCTGTAATGGAATTTCTGGGTAAAAAAGTATATTCATTTGTAAATTGATAGATGCTGCCAAATCGTCCTTCACAGAGTTTGTACCAATGCGCATACTTACCTGCAAAGTATCAAATTCTTGACTTTTCTAAAGTGCACGTATAAAGGAACTAAAACACATACATAGGAAGTATCAGAGACAACTTGATATGATCCTATGAGTATAGGCCAATTGGATTGCTTATTGTTCCTTTGCTCTCTCTTGGGTAGATAATTTGGATCTCTTATATAGACTTAGAGTTGTTTAACAATGGGACATCACATTAGAGATGCTTCTCATTTACAAACTGTTATTTAGCTGCATTTCAAACCATCAGAACCTCATGAAGAAGTTGGTAGATTTGATGGTCAGCTTACTCGTTTTTTAAAATTTCAAATTTAATAATTCTATATATTAATTCTGCAGCTTGGGAACTTTTTGCTCTTGTACTCCTTTACTCTCTTAAACATTATTGAGAACTCCAAAGAGCTTCAGTTATGTGAGTTATATACGAGAGATACTTACCGTATTTTAAAGCAAAACTGAAAACTATTGAGATATTTATTAAAATGATTTCATTATGTTAACATAAATAATATTCTAATGAAAATTAAATATTTTAAAAAGTAGTAAGAAGAATATCATTGTTTTATATATATTTATATTTATATCTGGCATACTACCTTGTGGTACCTTGTGCAACCCAGTGGAACATTTTCTATGGACTGGACTTCTATGATGCAACATTTCCTGCCCTGCCTTGACAATAGATAGATCTTCTCCTTAACCCCCTTCTATAAAGCTCCACCCCAATTTCTTGGAGATGATATAGGTAGCACCAAATTTCACAGGCTGTCTATGAATTAAGAATAGCTCCAAACCTTCAAATAGACTAAAACTTGGAATGGGTCTTTGTGGATCACGGAGCCCCTATGAGGGCATCTTGCAGAATTCTAAGTGAATATAGTAGCTGTATTAGACTTCATATAAGGGACCAAAGGGACTATATGATGGCGTGCTTGGGGTAGTATCCAGGCTTCATGTGCCCAACCTACACCCTAAGAATCAAATTCTAATGCCCAGTACTGAACATGGCTCCATACCCCTACATCAGAAGTCAACATGTTACATAAAGACATCTGGCTCTCTTACTATTAGATTACCATCAAGAGACTAATTGTGCTTATTGAGTGAACAGATAAGGGGCCAAAAGTACCATGCTAAATATAGAGAGTAGTGCATGGGAAACATAGAAAATCAGGCTCATTCCCCAGCCAGAACCAAGTGTAATACTCACAGAGAATCAGAACTAAAGTCAGAACTGGAAAGGTGGCAACATTATACATAAGATAAAGACTGGTGACCCTTGGCCACCTACATGGGCAGATCAGCCAGGCAATTGAGAACCGACCAACAGGAGGATTATGTGCTGGCAGGAGGGAGTCAAATGAGGTTTGAAATCCATTAGGCTGTTCCTACAGTTCCTTGTGAAACTGCTCAGGAGTAAAGGACCCTAAGTTGGACATCATCTTGAAGAGGAGAAAGAATGTTCAACTCTGTGATATTAAGTACAGTTTGATACTTAGTGTTTTTATCCTCCATTATGGTTTCCAAGTCCTCCAACTGCACTCCTTTGTAATACGGGCTGGGCAAGTAATGATATTCTACTTAGCAAATGAGGCAAACAGGCTGAGTACATTATCTGACTGGCTCAGCTAGAAAGTGATATGGCCATGCTCAGATCTTCAGACTCCTATTCCAGTGCTTTATCCACTCTTTCAAAGTGGGCTGGTGTGGGTGGGAGGAGCTACAGGCAGTGGAAGAAACAAAAGCTCATGCTGAGGGAGGTTAAGAGGGTTTAGAGGACAAAGAAGAGAAGGCAAAGGAAGCAGGGGAGACACAGGAAGTAATCCCTTGGCAAATGTGGGAGGTGGTGAGGAGATGGATGAGAGTATCAATTCATGTTGGGACATATAAAATTAGGTTGGAAAAGTGGGAATAGGGCCAAATAATTTGGATGAGATATGGTATGCAATATGGCATCATTGTGTTTTATGAGAACCAAAATAACAATGAAAGCAGGGCTTTAGGAAGGTTTCAGACTGGCAGTGAGACAAGGATCTGGGTGGAAGAGAGTGAAGAAGTGGGTAACTCATTAGGATACTGTTGTAATTCAGCTGTGAGGTTATTGATCTAGGACTAAGATGGTACCAGTGGAAATGGTGAGGAACAAGTGAATCCACAAGTCACTAAGAAGACAGAGACTCCAGGACTTGGTAACAAATTAGCTATGGGAACAAAAAGTATGGAATTTGAAACTGCTCCAAGCTCTGGGTCTAGAACAATGAAGGCCTCTCCCACAGATTAGGACCTTTATTTTAGAGATACTAGATTTGATGTGACAGTATCAGAGGGACAAATAAACAGTTTGAAACTTGAGATTACATCACAGCTGAAGGAACAGGGGTCAATATCCTTTATAAAATGAATTTTGAAGCACATGGATGAAAAAGGAAATAGATTAGCGAGCACATTTGCTATAATCATAAAAACCAAAATATAGCCTTCGTTCGTATTAACTTTATTAGTATTTATAAAATAAAAACAATTTATGAAAATATATTCAGGATATAGAAACTACAGTCTTTGCAAAATATACACACCCATAATTGCTATAATATATATCCTTGTATATACCTTGGACATTATAAAAGTGTTTTAAGAATGACACCCTGTAAAAGTTGAGAGAAGAAACATGTTCTCCAACCTTGGTCATATATTGTGACATTCAAGTGCTTAAACCACACTGTTGAAATAAAACACGCCTCTAGCGTACAGGTCCAAAGGGATTTAACTCTCTAAGTCCCATAGGTTCTTTTATTGTGCAAGGTAAAGAACCAAGAGAGGGTTCCCTGAGTTAATTTACCTTAGGTAGCTTAAGCAGTGGTTTACTTTCCACACTTTATCATGGAAATAAGGGAGAAGGCCATGGAAACAATCTCAGACAGATCCTCCCCCTTACCTGTGCAGCATGGCTCTTCCTACAAGAGGATTTCTTTCTAACCTTTGAGTTCTAAAATGCTCTGATTCTGTGACTATCTAAGATATTTGCAAAATGATGCTCCTGCAACTCTACATTCCAACAATGTCAATGAGGTTAAAGTTATAATGATAGTGTGACTCCCCAAAGTAGACTTCATTTAGAATTTGTCAGGTGGAAAGCATTTAGGAAGATCAGCAAGCCAAAAATTCCCTCTTGGAACTATTGGAAAAGATCCTTTCTCACCAAGGCATAAATCTCAGAAGCCAAGTTCCTTCTTTCTTTGGAAGAACTGTGATAAAGGGGAGAGAAAGAGCCTATAATCTTTCAAATCTGTAGGCTTAAGATAGTAACAGATGCTAGGTTGGACAGTAAGAGTTGGAGACCATTATAGCCTCACCCATAAAGGATTCATTGTGATAAAGAATCATTCCCATGTACTCCCTACCTGCCAAGCTTCCCTAAATATTACATTCTCTAACTGCAGAGTATTGGCCTGATGAAGTTCCAGATATAAAATGCTTGAATTCACGATGTTAGTATCATGGTGCAGCACTGACATTTAGTACCATACTGATATACTAGAATTTAACAGTGATTTTTTTTTTTTTATTCAAGACACTACAGAAGTCAACCAACCATGGATTCACAGGTCTTTACATGAAGCATCATTACATATAATTCCATAAGGGGAAAAGACTATAAAAATAAGTTTAATAGGATTACTGTATTTAAAAAGGTGTTTTAAAAAATATATGCCAAAGTCCTCTAAATATTTGGTGCAGAGAGGGTAAGGGAGGTATCTATTAGGGTGAACCACAATGAACTATGGTTTTTGTAAATTAAAAAGGTAAAATCTTGGCAATTTCATATGGTTCAACCTAAAAAAATCCTGAGAAAATTGTTATTTGGCATCACACTATAAATTCAAAGGGAATTTATAGAAAATCACATTTCTAGTGAGGGGAAAATACTTCAGGATGGAAATGTGCACACTGGTTATGCCAAGATTTCTCTCTTGTGGTTTAAAGACCTGAAATCTCAGAAAGTTAAGAAAAATGTAGTGCAGTTTCAAAAAAAAACAAAAACAAAAAACAAAAGACAAAAAAAAAAAAAACAGAGGACAATTCATGATAGTAGTGAATGCCACTGAGACAGAAAACTTCTAGCCAAGACTGGTGATTAACAACTTTTTACATATAAAAATTCTGTCATCAAAATGAAAAGGCACTCATGTGTATTAAAAGAATAATAATCATGTATAAAAGCCTTGAAAATAAGGCTAATTCATTTGTATTATTAACACCATTAAGTAGGCACCTTTTCCAAGTTTCAGCTTTGGCCTCCTAAATGGAATCAGGTTTCAAATCAATTACCGATAAATACTAATTATAGCAGCATTATTATCAACAAGTTTCTTAGCCTCTACACTGCTGAAAGAGCATCTAAAATTTCCATCCCATCAGTACCAAAGATACACTTTAAAAAATTATATTTATACCAGAGTCATAAAACATTTTGCAGTTTTTCTTCAACTAATGACCTGTCCTCTTACTGTCACCACCCAAACAACAGCAATAAAGAAACCAAACCAAAACCAAAACATAACTGAGAAAAAAGTAATTTCCAGACCACACTACAGCTGGCTAACTCTTGGCTAAAGACATACCATATTCAAAAATGGTACTTTAATTACAAAATTTATTAAATATAATCAGTGAAGGAACGCAGACGTTCCAGGTGTGTGCGTGCTTGGTGTGTCCGCACTAGGGGACGGTGCACGCAGAAACCAAGGACGCGCTTCTACGACATGCCTCATTTGGAGCTCTGGCACCATTTCCGAATGGCCGCGCCGGTACTACTGGCTACGACGCACAGGGCCCCGCCCACCGTCCACCACGTGGGCACATCATGAAAGAAAATAATCTGGAAGATGAAAGCAAAGACCACGTCCAAAGTCCTCATTAATGCCACTGGGCCTGCTTTTTCTATTTGGAGGGCTTTTGTGAGAAACACCTGACCCCCCAAACCAAACAGGCCGATGAGGATGAGAAACAGCCTGTCCAGCCCGCAGTACGGCAGACTCCACTCCCCCAGGATGAAGAGGGCGGTGACGCACTCTAGCAGGCCGAGTACGACGTAATACCAAATGCTCAGAAAGTAGTCCACGGACTTCCCCATTTTTCTGATGATGACCATGGTCACGGCGGCGAGGATGGCGTGCGCTACCGCGGCGAACGTGCCCTTTAGGTGAACGGAGTAGCTCTCTTCCGTGCCTGCAGCGCTGGCTCCGAACAGAAATGGGGGCCTCACGATGAGGATCACGCCGGTGATCGTGAACACGGTGAAGAGGGCATCCCAGGGGCTGTACTTCTCCTTGAGAAATATACAAGCAAATATGGACGTAAACACTGGCGCGCTAAACGTGATGACAGTGGCGTCGGCCAAGGATGTCGCCTGGTAAGCGTAGTACAAAAGGATCATGGCGGTGGAGCCCAGGCCTCCTCTGAGGAAGAGGAAAATGCGTTGACCTTTGGGCCCTAAGAACCCGGTTCTGTAAATTCAAACGAAGGAAAGCACATTAAACCAAGGTGGTATTTTTTAAATTGGAATTCTTAACTAGACATTATTTTTAAAGTCCTAAATGTCAACAGATAAGGGAATAAATTAATTATAATCCCCACAACTGACACCTTAAAAAAAAATGGTTTCTAAGAATAGCTAAATCATATAAGTATTCACAGTATAATCCAAATTAGCAAAAGAGAACTCCATAAATAGTATAATTATAATTCAGCAAATATAACTTTTTCCATGTCTATACATGCTTGCAAAAATGACAAAAGGAAATGTTCATTGTGGTTAAACCTTAATAGGTGGACTCCTAGGTAATTTTTCTTTATTTTCCCCAAATTCTACAATGACTATGATTTTTATGATAATACAATTTCAAGATGAAGCTGTCCTATATAAGAAAGCTCAGTTGTGGCTAGTATGCACTGCCAATCTTACAAGTTTTTCTATAAAATCTGAGGCAATGCTAAAGTTTATTATAGCTATTCAATGTGAGACAACTTTTCATTATTCTCTGCAGGAGGAGGTAAGATACACTGAAAAAGAATATGTAGCATTTGGATAAGTATAATGATTGCTACTCCATTTTTTTTAATTAAATATTTACCAAGCAGAATGCTGGGTATGTTTCAGGCTAGGCACAGCGTGCTGACCTGTGCCAGCACTGAACATCTTTAAGGTAGCCTATAAGCCTGACATGAGGTCCCACACTTCATATAGAAATGAAAGTGTGGTCACCTTTGACCCATACTTTGAGAAGTTAAGAGTCTTCCATGATAATGAAACATAAAATAGGTCACAATAGATTGGTGTTAAGGATTTAAAAAAATCTTCTAGTGCCTTCCCTTCCAATTCTTCTGTTGTAAAATGGGGAAGATATTGTGTTAGCATCAGTTGCCACCCTTGAAAATTTCTGAACTCTTACCATCACTTCCCAAAATATTTTGACTTGTCCAAATACGGGTATTTCTGACAATATTAATCTTAGTAGATTATCACCTTTTTCACCAAATCTTCAGCATACTGGACGAAACTATTCTAAATGAATCTGTAATGTGTTATAGATACAAGGAGACTTTGGGGGCAAGTGACTGGAGCTTTTAGTTTAGGGCTTAAGCATTTTTGCCCAAAGTCAGAAAGAGCTAGATGGGCACCAGGAGCCAAACTGGTCTCTCGTTCTAAGTACACTGGGGAGGGTTGAAGTTATAACACAGGGGTGTGTAGAAGGCATGATTTTAATCTGGGAAAGGGTGGGGAGGAGGTTCTATATGGAATGGGAAAAAGTGGAGAGAGAACAGTAAGGATGGGTAATAAAGACAGTTTTCATATACTGTTAAGATTCTACACAAAGTGCTCTGATCTATAATTAATTTTATTTGGCCCTTGCAGCCAAGGTACAGGGTTGAGGACACAGATTATCATTCCATCCAGTTCACAGATGAGGACACTAAACATGAAAGTATTTAAAAAGGTCTTGTTCAAGACTACCTTTTCCCTTTCCCACATTACTCTAGGGGGAAGACCCTGATATTATTATTTTAATCTTCTGTCTGCCCTGATAACAGAGCAGTCCATTCTAATGAAAGAAACTTGATATTAGGAGACACCACCACTTCCTCTCATTTACTTTTTTCTTCTAAATACTAGTTATGCAAGGGAAAGAAGGGAGGGTGGTACAAGATGGAATAATTGTACAAGAAATGCTTTGTTCTCAAAATGGGAGTGGAGAATAACTGAACTCTCCCCCACCCCTTCTTGGGTATGTGGTTTGTGCTTATGAGAGCATCTTCTGTGGGTGAATCCTTATGACTTTTTATTAATCAGAGCCAAACAATGTAGGAATTGGTTAAATCTATGGGAGGGAATAAAGCAGACACTATAGAATAAATTATTTATGCAGATCAAAAGATTTATAAACATTTGTTAATACCTTCTACTTTGTAGGTAAGAAATACTTACTTTCTGTATATTAAGCAAGGAATAACGACTAGCATTTGGAACACACATCGGAATGCACTAATTTCCACAGCATGGACGTCTTGTACTTTTTTAACAAATAAAGAGCCCACTGAGAAAAGGAAGGCAGACAATAATGTATAAAACAAGCCAAGTCCAGGACAGGGTGCTTTCTTCTCGGCTTCTGAAAAAGATTAAATTCTGGTTAGTCCTTACTTCCAAGTATATGTTTTAATATTTTCACTTAGGAATCGAGAAAAATGGAACAGTGTTAATGGCTAACAGGCTACAAATACTGTCTTCCTAAGCCTATCCATTCTCTGGACCTGAACCATTTTCCCCACCAAGAATGAGGAATCATTGATGAAGGCAACAATTTAAATTTAAATGCAGCTTTACCCTATAAAATGGATTTCTTTTGGCTCACTGAAGAATCATCACTCACTTATAAGTAAAAAAGAAGTAAAAAAGCTTGCCAAGTCGGTGAGAGAAATCTTTAAGAAATGCTTGTCAAGATGGCTAGAGAAAAATGTTTCCAAGTGATATTTTATATCATCTCACTGGTGAACCTGGCTTTATGAAGAAAGTGTTTTTTTCTGGACAACAATTTTTAGCTGTGTCCTACGGCTACTTGTTGATTATCTTACTTCGCCCACAAGCCTGTGAACCTTTCCAGGCTGGGACCTCGGCTGTCTTGTTTATGCCTGGCACATGAAGACCCTGATTAAATATTTGCTAAATGAAAGAGTATGAGAGAACTCCATGGAAGGATGCAGAGTCTAACACCACTGGTAACAGCATAACCTGGGAAGGCTCTCTATTTTGTTAATTTGAACCATGAGTCAAATTTTTTACTTTTCATGGCTTGTGGCTTATCTTCCATTTAGAGTATACACTCTTTGAAGGCAAGGGGTAGTTTATCTACCCCTCTGACCTCAAAGTAATTTTTTTTTTTTTTTTACAAATAGTTTATTGTCAAATTAGTTTCCACATAACACCCAGTGCTCATCCCAACAAGTGCCCTCCTCCATGCCCATCCCCCCTCCCCCCTACATGCATCAGTTCTCAGTTTTTGTCAGCATTCAAGAGTCTCTCATGGTTTGCCTCTCTCCCTTTCCCCCACCATTTCCCCCCTTCTTCTCCCCCTTGGTCCTCCGTTAAGTTCCTCCTAATCCTCCTATACATACAAACATATGATATTTGCCCTTCTCTGCCTGACTTATTTCACTCAGCATAATACCCTCAAGGTCCATCCATGTTGCTACACATGGCCAGCTTTCATTGTTTCTCATTGCCATGTAGTATTCCATCGTATAGATAAACCACATCTTCTTGATCCATTCGTCCGTTGATGGACGCTTAGGCTCTTTCCATGTTTTGGCTATTGTTGAGAGTGCTGCTATGAACATTGGGGTACATGTGCTCCTATGCCTCAGCATTTCTATATCCCTTGGGTAAATTCCTAGCAGTGCTATTGCTGGGTCATAGGGGAGTTCTATTGTTAATTTTTTGAGGAACCTCCACACTGTTTTCCAGAGGGGCTGTACCAGTTTACATTCCCACCAACAGTGTAAGAGGGTGCCCGTTTCTCCACATCCTCGCCAGCATCTCGTGTTCTCTGATTTGCTCATTTTAGCTACTCTGACTGGTGTGAGGTGGTATCTCAGTGTCATTTTGATTTGTATTTCCCTGATGAGTAGGGATGCTGAGCATCGTTTCATATGTTTGTTGGCCATCTGGATGTCCTCAACCTCAAAGTACTTTAAAACAAAATTTTTAAAAAATTACAGCTGCCATTTAATACCAACTTCTTTGCTTGATCTGAAGTGGAAAACTTCTGCTTTCTCTAGGGCATCAAGTATTCAATCTCTTAGTGACTGTATGAGCATTAAACTTTTGTTTAGCACTTCTTCTGTCTTAGTTACTAAACACAGGACTAGAAACTGTTTTCCATCTCATACTTACTCCAATCCCATCATTCAGAGGGGAGCAAAATGGGACAGGGTAAGCAAAGAACCCCCTAAAAGATAGGTGACACACTGAGGAACATATTAGTTGTTTTTTTTTTTCTTTATTGAAACTAATACAAAAACAAGGAGAGAACAGGAAGGAAATACTACTGGCCCTCATCAGTTAAGAGCCTAGCAAAATGGAAAGGTGTATGGACACTTGCAACTTCTAATAAGACCAGGATTATCATTCTAATCTAGGAATCTATAATGTGTTACTCAGCTAGCTAACAGTATTGCGTAATCATGGTTTAAAAAAAAAATGTCCTCTGATAAATGCAAACACTTGGTAATACATTTCAGTATCTTCATGTTAGCTAGATACCTTTGTCCACAGTGACAAACACTTTGTGAATCAGGACCAAAGTATGACAATGCAGAATCTTTCCAGGGGCATTCTACAGACTGACCTTTGTAGTAAGAGATGCCACTGGAATCAGAGGCCTCCACCTCTTCCTGTTCCAGGTGTACAGTCAAAGAGAATAATTTGGAGCTACCAGTCATCATGTCACAGGATCTTAAGTACCAGAATCTTCCACATTCTTTTCAACACCTATATGGCTCAGATACCACAGAAGCAAACTGCACATACTCACTCAGCCCATGAGAAGGAACTTTAGAAGACTTCTAAGTTAAGAACCACAAAATACATGTCTTGGCTGTGGTTAGCCTCAGTGTTCGGCTTCTGAAATTTCAGGGTTCAGGTCCAAATAAAATAGTTTTTCTTAAAAGAAATCCAACCCATACATAGAACATACACCCTCACACAGAACAGAACAGGAAGATCAAGGACAGAAAACATCTCCCTGGTCTGTATTTCAAGGATCTTCTCCAACCTAAACTTTTAAAATTTTCTCCAGGAATATTTTAACTTAACATGATATTGTAACTCTTTTTTTAATTAATTAATTAATTAATTTTTAACCCTTTTAAAACTCAATTTTATACCCCTGGTTCTGATTATCTTGTCTCTTAAAAGACTCACATATTTTCTTGCCTATAAACACCTAAGACCTATTACTGCCGACCATGAAAGGCCAGTTGTTACAAGGCCTGGCTCAATTTGATTATTTCTTATGAGGGTGAGGCTTGGTTCCACTCAGGCAGACCTGTCTCTTACTAGATAATAATTTCCATTCTGCTAACGGAGATGAACAAGAGAGTAGCATAATCCAAAGAGCCATTTGCTTATGTAACATGCTTCTGTGATCATATTCCACTACAAGCATAGCTAAATAATTCAAATTAAATGGCCATGGTGCAATTTCCTGAGTTAGAAGAAAACTGAAAAGTTGCTCAGTTTCTCTATCCTCTGCCTTAAACTGGTGATTCACAACCTTGGCTGGGAATCAGAATCAGCTGAGTAACTTTGTAAACTTCCCGAGCAGTACTCCAGACCCACTGCTACAGGATCTCTGCAACTGTAAAAGCTCCACCAGCTTGAGTGAACCACTACCACACTAGAGAACTCCTTCCGGGGGCATGTGAGGCACACATCTAAGACAGCTTCTGCTTCAGTCTAAGATCCACATTGTCTCTCAAGAAAATAAATAGCTATCTTATGATAGCTGTATGCTGTCTGTGAAGGTTATACAAGAATGTAGAAAAATAGGTAAAGGTTTCAACGTGAACTTGAAAATGAGCTTTCTTGAGATAACCAGTTGAATCAAGCAGTTAAAATGATACTGTCACAGAGTTCAATGACAACAAACAGTACAGTGGTTTAAAGTGTTTCTACCGTAGTCCTGTTTTCAGAATATTATCTGGTCACCTTACAATAACTAAGTCTTACTGTTAGCAATTTTCTTTGAAGTTAAAAGATGCTACAAGATTCTTAGGTGCAGTTGCTTATAAGGCTTATCATTTTGCCACGTGCTGCCTGAGTGTACAGTACTCCTCTTTGGCTCACAAACAGCGGAAACATTTAAGAGTTTACAAGGACTGACTCAGCATTCCACCAAAATGACATTCAACCATAGTAACTGATAAGGTGAGAAATTCACCTCTTCCACAAGCTACACATCTGGTCTGCACAGCTTGGAGTAACCCTCTTCTCTGGAGGCACCAGCCGATGCATAAATAATCAGAAGTCTGATCATTTTGGGGGTGCCTGGGTGGCTCAGTCAGTTGAGTGTCCAACTCTTGATTTCAGCTCAGGTCATGATCCCAGGGTCATGGGATAAAGCCCAATGGGTGCTCTGCACTGAGCATGGGGGGCTCGCTTGGGATTCTTCCCCTTTCTCCCTCTGCCCCTCTCCCCTGCGTGCTCTAAAATTATAAGAAAAAAAGTTTTTTTAATTAAAAAAAAAGTCCGACCATTTCTGTTAGCATTTAGGACAAAAATGGAGCAAGAATCATCTTCTGGGTTTTGTCTGTCTAAATTGGGGAAAATTCATAATAGGGAGAAGGAGGAAATGGGGTGGGGATAAGAGGCAAGAAATTGGGGTCACACTTAGAGGAGGCCACCCAGAGGATGAGTTGGTGCAGGCTGTGTAACTTTGTCTTGAAAGGAGATCTACCAATTTCCTCTATTTCCAAGAAGATGCTCTAGGTGGGTGGTGGAGTTTAAGGAGGAATGTGCTTAAAGTAGCACTGTGGTCAGTAGAAAGGGCCTAGGCCTGGGTCTCTGGCATTCTGGGATCCTTAACCTTGGTGCTGGAGGGACCTGTTCCATGTCTCACCCACACATAACAGATCTAGGGAAAAACAAAGCAACCCTCACCCTCAAGCTCTCATCCTCCTGGGCTTCACTTTCCTCATTTGTGAAAAGAAGAGGTTGAACAAGATCAAGGTGTTTTTACAAAGGGTCTCTGGCTTTGAACACAGGTCTGTGAACCTCTTAACAATGTATGCAAGATTGTGCCTCTGCCTTGTTTAGGATTAATTGCTAAGAGAATCCTCCTATATTTCAGGTATACAATATAGTGGTTCAATTTTTAAAAATAGAAAAAAATGTATTACAAAATATTCATTATGCTAACAATGGACATTTGGTTTAGTTCAGTGTGAGTTGCTATGAATAAAGATACTGTAAAAATTTACAACAAAAAAAGTCCTCCTAACCCCACAGGCATTAAGAATCTGGTCCCACTCAACTCAACTCTGCCTTCCCAAGATTCTAAGACTCTGAGGCAAACATTTTCTAGACTCTGCTTTTCAACTTCCTCTTCAGGGAACACTGCTTACCACTGTGATCAGTGTTCACGGTTAGCTCTCCACCCCCAACCTCACCTGCCTGCGGGATGGCCTCTCTTTCTGATGCCCCCAACCTCACCTGCCTGCGGGATGGCCTCTCTTACTGACACCCTCAACCTCACCCGCCTATGGGATGTCCTCTCTTACTGACCCCCCAAACTCCGGCAGGGCGCACGGAACTGCAATCTGACTCCGCGGTACTGCCCGCAACACTTTAATCATAGGAACAGTTTCAGAATCCCAAAAGGGTTCCAAAAACAATCAGAAACTTTCTCCGGTCTTCGCGCCCGTGGGGACGAAAAGGGCTTCTGCTTTGCAGACCCCCCAGGTGAGGACTCGAGGGTTTTCCCGAGCTCTGGGCAGGGTAGGGATGGGGGCGCGGTCCTCGCTGCGCCCCTGGCCCACAGCTGCGGGGACCCTAGCCCGTTGGCACCCTCCCCTCCCAACCACCCCCCCAGAGGTGAGACCTGCGCCCGAGTCTGCACCCCACACTCACCCTGCGACGCAACCGAGCCGCACGGCGAGTTGCCGCACACCCAGCACCTACAGGGGCCGGGTGTCCCCGCTTCCTCGGCCGCCGCCGGCTCCTCACTCGCGCCCTGCGGCGCGGCGTCCGTCAAAGGCAGCCCGGGCTCCGGCTCCTCGGCGGCCCCGTCACCCTCCACGGGCCGCATTTCGCGGCTAGCTTCTGCGCCGCGGCGACCAGCGCGGGGAATAGCGGCTCCGCTGCCCGGCTCTTCCGGCCGGCGGCGGCGGCGGCGGCGGCGGCGGCGGCGGGGCGCATGCGCGCGCGGCCCTCCTCCCCTTGCTGGGAAGCGCGCTTGTCCTCCGCTGCCCTCTTAGCTTCAGCTCCTGGAGCCTCCTGCGCAGCGGGAGGCCGGTCGCCTCCCCTGGTCTGCGGTGGTGCACACAGCTGGGCCAAAGGCGTCCCCCCCTCTGCTGCAGTCTAGCTGTACTGGCCAGCAGCTTGGAGTCATCCTTCCCTAGGCACAGTGGACAGAGGGAGCGACGTCCAAGGGTCTTGTGGTCTTCTTTTGGGGCGGGCCATCAGAGGTTAGGAGAGCGTATACTTATTTATTGGTGTGGCGCTGCATTTAGCCCCTCTGGAATACCCTGGAGACCTTGCCAAATACTGTGCCTGCCTTTGTCTCCTTGCCAGTTATCCAAGGAAGGTAGAATTTTACTGGCTTTAGGTTTAAATAAAAGGGGGGGGGGGGGTGCCGTTAACACATAACCATAGAGAAACTATATTTGCAAGACTGGGATAGAACCCATTTATATATATATATATATATATATATTTAACAGTAGTCATTTGTTATTGATCTTTCTTTTTTTGCTGTTGTTAACTGAGACATCCTAATTTGGTTAGATGTAAGATTACAATAATCTGACATAATTGTTCCCAGTAAAGTAAAAAATATATGCCATCTGCCCACAGGGTCCCTTGGATTCACTAATAGGCTCTTTATGTTTAAGTTAATTCTTCTCTCATCTTTGCTTGCTTTAAATGTGAAAAGACTGTGGGCAAGGATGAACCTGTCTCAACTATTCTAGGCCCAAGTGCAAGCAGATTACCAACCAAGAGAGTAAAGCTTGTCTTTACTCAGATATTTGCACGAAGTGATCAACAACTCAAAAGTATTGGACTTCAAGTCAGGAATCCTGGGTTCTGGCTCTGATTCTGTCCCTGAGTATGTGACCTAAAATAGTTGCCACCTACAGCTTAAAACCTTGGTTACTTCATTTAATTAACAGAGATAAAAGATTTCTCTTCCTATTTTGCAGAGTTGTGCAAATAAAGTCCAATGATGTGTGCAAAAGCAGTTGCCTGGAAAGCACTTTACTGGAAAATCAAGGTGTATTTTTAAGTAAGGTGAACATATAATTGATCTTCTAAAACTGGAAACAACTCTTTTAGAGTAAAAGAAGGAGCTCTTTCAGAAATTATGCAGGGCAATAGGCTGAAACAGAGATAGTCATAGGCAAACTGGGACAAATGGCCACTTGAATTCTAACTTGGTTAGCATATAACTTTGCCTTGTCTTAAAAAGAATTGAAGGCTGTTTATACAAATATATGAAACTGATTTTGTTGTTGGTGGTGGTAGTGTTTTAATGGAGAAATTCTGGGGAAGGGTGGTGAGGGTGGTAGATCATGATTATGAATGAAGCAAGAACCAAAAACACTTCTCCAAACATCTAAAAATCAAGTGCAGTTTCATAACTGCATTTATTTGTAAGATTTAGATGACAGTGTTTGAAGAATCCCTGCAATATTGTGATTTACAAGAAGTATGTATTTGGTCATTCAGATATTTATTTGCTCTTCATCCATGGCTCTTGACTCACAGCTGTCCAAACCCTTTGAATTTCCTGAGATAAGAGCAATGGGAGCAGCTTTTGTTACAGTATTTGGTCTTTCGTCCTTAGTTCCTACAATGGCTTCAGGGCCAGAAAAGTGAAATGGGCATCTTGTTATTTATCACAAACCTCCTGCCTTGACTGAATTTATGTTAATGAGGTGACTTTCAGAAAGCACCTAAGGATGGGAGCTCTTTGCCAGGTGAGCCAACCACAGGATTAGAGGGTAGGAACTTCCAATCCACCCTACCCCTGTGGGGAGAGGGAAGGGCAGGGATTGATTTCAGTCACCAGTGGCCAGTGATTTAATCAATGGTGCCTATATAATGAATCCTCCATAAAAACCATCAAAAAATGGAGTTTGGAGAGCTTCCTGTTGATGAACACTTGGAGATGTTGGGAGAATGGCTCTCTTGGAGAACTCACAGGAGTGCTGCATTCTTTTCCCATACTTACTTGCCTTGTGTATCTCTTGTATCTGGCTTTTCCTGAGTTAGATCCTTTTACAATTAACTGGTGATCTAGCAAATAAAAAGCTTCTCTTAGTTCTGTGAGTGGCTCTAGCAAAATTCATCAAACCTGAGGAGAGATTCTTGGGAACCTCCAATCTGTAGCTGGTGAGTCAGAAGCACAGGTGATAATCTGGACTTGCAATTGGCATCTGAAAGGGTGAGGGGCAGCCTTGTAGGACTGAGTCTTTCCCCTGTGGGGTCTGAGGGTATCTCCAGGTAAATGGTGTCAGAATTGAGTTGAATTATAGAACACCCAGCTGGTGTCTGAAGAACTGTTGGGGAAATCTCCTACCCACCCGTCTTCCCAGTGGAATTATGTCCAAGAACCCTATTAGTTTCCCTCTTCAAATAGTGAAGATGGTGGTTAGGAAGTGTAAGGAAGAAAGAATTGGATGATTTGAGCAATAAGTACCTTGACTACTTCACTTTCAATACCGTCCTCAAAAAGGGGGGAGAGAAAGAGAAGAAAATGGGTACCACACCAGCATAGACTGGATGACTAAAGGGTGGCAGGATGGTTTGGGTCTCACACTTTATTCCCTTTACCGTCCTTCCCCCCTGGGCTGGCATTGATATATGCAAGGTATCCACCATCGTTTTTCTTATTTGCTAAACAAACAAGAGCCATGGAAACATAAAAATCAACTGGTAAGAACAGTACGGACCAGACTAAAAGTCAAAAGACATGGCTCCACATTGCAGCTCCACCCAGCAGAAGCATGGATGACTAAGTTTTTCCTTGAGCATTTCTAGGCTCTGGTAACAATGACTTAGAGCTGGTGAGAGGTGTATTCTCCCACAGAGTGAAGGGTGGGGCAGAAATCCTGACCAGGGGATGAGGGGACCAGCTTCGAGCCCATTGCAGTAGTTTAAGTGAAGTTCTGCCCTCAAGGCAGAGGAGGCAGGGAGGAAGGATTGCTTTTAAAGTAGTTGGCAGATGGAATGGACAGGATTTGTGGGCTCAGTATGAAAGGAACATTGCTTCTGTAGGCAAAATCATGCATTGTTCCAACTGAAATTCTGCTTTTGAAGGAATTCGATCCTCTAGTGAGAACAGGGGCTTTCACTATAATGTCAGGTAACCACAATGGGCTGGCATTCCCACAGTTCCGGGGTCAGGAAGGAAGGAGGCTGGAAGTAGAAGAGTGATGTGTTCTAGCTGTCCCATGAACAAGGAAGAGTGCAAGAACCTCATCATCCTGGTGGGTGCAGATGGAGACCTCCAGCTACTGTACGGGAGAAGGTGGACTCCTGATTTCCACTACCATTTATATGCAGGGATGTTCCTGTGCGAGACACTTGTGAATCAGGAGCTCTCTTCTCCTGGTATGTCTGCCTGATTCCTATAGGACTGGTATCTTGGCACTAATTTAAAAGACTGCTCCCGCCATTCCTCCCAAAAAGTTCATTTCTTACTCTTCTAATGCAACTTTAACTAATGCCATTTGGAAAATGGCAGTTTGTTCCAAGGAGTGAGGTCCAATGATTGTGTTTGGGGGAGAATCAGTGCTGTGAAACAGAAGATCATAATTCTAAATACCCTGATAAATGAAAGAGGACAAAAGCAAAAAAGAGACAGAGTTTAGCATAAATGTAAGGTAGGATATTAGAGAGGTAAAAGAAACTCTTTGACTAGATAATAAAAGCTGATTTTGGAAATATAAGAGGAAAAAAATGCCTGGATTGGTTCCTCAAAAATATTCAACCTAGAATTCATGATCTAGTAATTCCACTTCTGGTGAAAGCATGGAATCTAATGGATATTTGTACAACAATGTTCATAGCAGCATTATTCACAATAACCAAAAGGTGGAAACAGTCCAAATGTCTACCAACAGATGATAAAGTGTGGTGTATACATACAATGGAATATTATTCAGCCTTAAAAAGGAAAGACATTCTGACACCTGCTACAACATGGATGAACCTTGGAAACAAACATTAACTGAGTGAAATAAGCCAAACTTAAAAGGACAAAATACTGTATGATTCCACTTATATGAGGGACCTAGAATAGTCAAATGCATAGAAACAGAAGATAGACTGGCAGTTGTCAGGAACTGAGAGGAGGAAGGAAAGGGGTATTAGTGTTTAACGGGTACAGTGTCAATCGGAGATGATGAAAGTTCCGTGGATGGGTAGTGGTGATAGTTGTACAACAATGTGGACTCACTGAGTGCCACTGAGCTGTGCACTTAAAGACAGTTATACTGGTGAAGCACTGGGTGGCTCAACTGGTTAAGCGTCCACTCTTGGTTTTGGCTCAGGTCATGATCTCACGGTTGATGAGTTTGAGCCCTGCATGGGGTTCTGTGCTGACAGTTCTGGAGCCTGCTTGGGATTCTCTCTCTCTCTCTCTCTCTCTCTCTCTCTCCCCCTGCCCCTCTCCTGCTCATATCTCTCTTTCTAGGAAAAAAAATAACAGTTAAACTGGTAAATTTTATGTTACATACATTTTACCACAATAAAAAAAAGTTTTAGAAAAAAAAAAGCCTTTCTGAGGGTATGCAACAGACAGCTAATAAACCAGCAATGTAGATCCAAAGTTGAAATAAACCTGGTCTGCAAACAAACTGAGGAGTGCAAGATACTTTCCCCTGCACTAGCCATATTCTCCTTTCTTCAATTCTGATTTATAACTATAGAGAGATGTTAATATATTTTTAAAATTCCAGGGCCGCCTGGGTGGCTCAGTCAGTTGGGCTTTGGCTCAGGTCATGATCTCATGGTTTGTGGATTTGAGCCCTACCTTGGGCTCTGTGCTGACGGCTCAGAGCCTGAAGCCTGCTTTGGATTCTGTCTCTCTCTCTGCACCTCCCCAACTCACACTCTGTCTCTCTCCCTCTCTCTC